CCAACTTAACCCAAATTGTACCAATTGGGTTTGGTTGATTGGATTTTTACGGTCGTCCTTAATTATTAATTTATATTTTTGTACGAATTGGGTTTGGTTGATTGGATCTGTACGGTCGTCCTTAATTATTAGTTTATATTTTTCCAAATTTCAGTGCATTTTTTTTTAATTTTATTAGCGTTTTTAATATGATTTTTGATAGAGTTATTTAATGGCTTGGAAAAAAAATAAAAATTTTATTTTATTAAAAACAATGAATTTATAAATATTATTTTTAAAATATTAAAGATTAAATAGAAATTAAATTTTATTATTTAATAATTGTTTTATGACAAATAAAAACTAGATTTAGTTACCATAATTCAATGTAATATAAATTTAAAACCAACTGCTGTATTGGTAAATATTTTTATTAAGGTATATTTATAATTAGTTTTCAGAAAATACATATAATTAGTTTTGGTAAATTCTCAAAACGGTATTTATAAAGACAGTAGATAGATATGTTAAAATATTATATATAATTAAAAACTTTCTTAAATTATAAAGTTTAATTATAGGCAAATTAATTTTATATTTAATAAATTTGTTAATTTTTCTAAAAATGTCCGAGAAAAGGTTGCATTATATTTTAATTTTCTTTATTTTAGTATTTGTAAGATATCAATTTATAAATGCATAATTAAATTAATAAAAATATTATTGAAATTAATATTTTATTTAAAAGAATTTCAAAATACCCATCAACTTTAATTAATATATATATATATTAAAAATACCCTTAAATTTAAAAATTATTTTTGAAAATATGGTTTTCAAATTTAATTAATTTTTTTAAAAAATATTTAAAAATACTCATCATTTTTAAGAAATAATAGTAAAAAATTTAGAGATAATCTATGAGATGTCAATAGACCGTTCTCGTCTATATATTGATTGTAAAAATTATTTTTAATTTTTTTTATATAGAAAGGTATATTTTTTTAATGTGACATTTAAAATTTCATATATATATTTTAAAAACAGTAGTACGGATAAATGTATTTTTTGAACGAAATTAATCAATATATTTACGAAATACTAATAAAAGTTTAAAAAGTATTTTTTAGATTTTTTTAAAAAATTAAAAAAATATATTTTAGCTCGTAAACTAAAGTGAGATTTAAATAATAATTTATTTTTATAACAAAGTTTAAATTTTCTGTCATACCCTAAAGACAAGACAACTTTATATCCAAACGTTGGACCAAATGATGTGAAGGTAAATTATGTGTCCTTTTTAACTTTTACTTGCGGTTAACTTTTTTTTTTAATAGCTTTTTAACTTTTTAATTTTGTATGGGATGGATGGACCGACGTTATTAATACGTGATTTTAGATGGCTGGTTGGTGACTACTCCACTATGTAACAGGAGAAAATATACAATGACGTGGTGTTACTCTTATAAGTCTGTGTTTAGACTAAAAATAATGTCGAACTAGCATAACGGTCGACAGTAAAGTCGAGGAAGAACACAAGTCTCTCAATTAGTACCTAGCTCGATAGTTTGTGTTACGATCGAGAATAGATTACAAGACACTCTGTAAAATACTATTAAACTTTACTGTGAAAACCTGGTTAGAGTGGAGGGTATTGACAGTAAAGCTACACAATTTATTTGCAAATCCTTCTTGCAATAACTAAATCATTTTCTTAAACATATACATATATATATATATATATATACCCTAAACCCTATTGAAGTAGTGATGTATTTTGACAGCTTGTGTCAGTGGTACGTGTTTTGGTGCTCTTCTTTGGTTTGACTCTCGAGGCATCACTAAGAGGTCAATCGTTTGCCTAGTTCATGTGGCTCTTAACGGGCTCACGTGGACCATGAGATCCATGGACTCGAAATCTCAACCATACTAAGCTTATGCAACCAAAACCGTTGTTAAATAAAATAGTGAGAATGTTAAATTGAATTCATCTACGTGTTATTTCTTATGTTATGTTTAAGAATATTATGTGATGCATGTTCGTCCGGTATGTAAATCCATATATGTAACGATAATACTCACATTATATCTATGAGAGACATGCTACGTACACATATGCATGTTTCATTAGTAAATTTATGTCGGGAAAAGAATGGAAGTATGATAGGTATCATAATTATGTACTATGATCTGAAAACACGAGCCCTCGTGTATGTTGTATAACACGAAACACGAGATACTTGAAACAGGTTTGAATTACTTGTGATGATATATATTTATTGAATTAATGAAAAACTCAAACGGACACGACACGACAAGCTTATATTACACTCCCGGCAACTTTACATTGCTTAAAAGGTAAACGATCATAATAATTTCAAAAAATTAAATTAAAAGAAAAAAAAAAGTTGAGATTCCAGGCTGGCCCACATTCAAGGAGCACGTAATGACCATTTTGCCCATCCTGTCTTCTTCTCCGACTAGACCCAGACGGCGGCGGGAATTCCGGGGAAGGCGGCGGTTGTGGTGGCGGAAATGGAGGATAGCAGTGGCGATTTTCAGTAATTGGGAGACTGTTCTGGGTGAAGTCACAAACGCAGGTGATTGCAATTAATGCGAATTCTTTAATTTTATTTTTTATTGTTATTATTACTATTTATTATTATTATTATTATTATTATACCATTTATTATCATTTTCCAATAGCATTATTATATTAATGTGATTTATTATTCTATTTTTTATTTAATAATAATATCAACCTCATTACATTACTCAAAATAATAAATAAATAAAAACTATCAGTGGAGTTCCTTTAACAAAGTAACTTTTTTTTAGGGATATTAAAGTAATTTGATAACCGACCAATTTAGACTACTTAATTCAAGCCCAGTTGAGTACGAGATATATATATATATATATATATATATTTAAATTTAGGTTGGGTTGAATTTTTTAAAAATAAAATATTTGAGTTAATTTGCATATTGACATTTTTTTCGTTTGATTTGAGAATATTCGGTGAAACCACGACATCTACATAGTGTGAAAATTCTCTATTTATAATTAAATAAATTATAAGTATATGGAAAAAAACAATAAATGGTAAGCAAATCTCGAGATATTTGTCGATGAATGCAATAATGAAGGCAAATCTCTGAATATTTGTCTATAATAAAAGATTAAATATGATATATAGTACTAAATATCTTTAACATTTGGATTAACCCAATCAACCCGAAAATAGGGTTACAAGTCTACTCCGTCATATTTTAAGATTATTATGAAAATTAAGAATATTTAACGTTTGTAATTGATATTAGCGATGCATTGATAATGTTTTATAAGATTTTAATATTCAATAATGGAAGTATTTATATGGAAAGTAAGGAATAAATTTTTGCAACATAATTGCGAGCGTTAAACAATATTAGTCCTCAATTATAGATTTTAATTACTCATAATCACCAAAATAAACCCTTCATTTGGTGTAATTTTGATAAGATCAAACTATATTTATTCCAAATCATTCCCATCTAAAGATCACTTTTAAAAAGATAATTTTAATTACTCACAAATATTTTCATAATCTAATCTACATTAGAACACATCATTTGAATTGAAATAGAAAGAACAATTTGTCCGTTTTGGCAAGTGGGTTCCATTTTTTTCGACTTACGAAGCTACCCATTTACTTTATCTCAAGATTTTTAAAATGTGTTTGCTATGGAGAATTTCCATACCTTTATCTAATCATTTGGATCCCACGGTTGGGGAGGAGAACGAAACATTCTTTATAAGGGGGTGGAAACCTCACCCTAGTGCGTTTTAAAAACCTTGAGGGAAAACTTGAAAGGAAAACTACAAAGAGAACAATAATTACTAGTGGTGGGCTTGGGCTTTTACAAATCGTACCAGAGCCAGACACTAGCGAGGAGGCTAAGCCCCGAAGGTGTGGACACAAGACGGTGTGCTAGCAAGAATGCTGGGCCTCGAAATGGAGTGGTTTGGGGGGGTCCCATATCAATTGGAGAAGGGAACGAGTACCAGCAAGGACGTTGGGCCCTGAAAGAGGGTTGATTGGCAGGTCCCACATTGATTGAATAAGGGAACGAGTGCCAGCAAGGATGCTGGACCCAGAAAGAGGGTAGATTGTGAGATTCCACATCGGTTGAGGAGGAGAACGAAACATTATTTATAAAGGCATAGAAACCTCCCATACGTTTTAAAATTTTTTAGGAGAAGCCTAAAAGAAAAAGCTCGAAGAGGACAATATCTGCTAATGGTAAACTTGAGCGACCCAATCTATTTTTTTGTAAACATTAGGTGATATGATGATTGAAACGATAAGTAATTCTAGTAGAATCATGTCATTTGATAGCGATGCTTCATTTAATAGGAGAGGTTTAAGTTCTGGAAGCCTAAGGGTGAATCAGGTGGGCTGGATCTTCCGTTGGTATCATGTGTTTCTGGTCGTTGGATTACTGATTACGGCCGGTTATATTCGTGTTATTTTTCAAATTCTTTAAAGAAAAAGAAGTGCATACATAGGGTCACCCTTCTTTTAAGAGACGCCAGATTATGACACCATCAACCTAAATCTACTGCCGTTAGTAGATATTGTCTCCTTTAAACTTTTCCTTTCAAGCTTCCCCTCAACGTTTTTAAAACGTGTCTATTAAAGAGAGATTTCCACACCCTTGTAAAGAATGTTTCGTCCTCTTCCACAACCAACATGGGATCTCACGCCGTATCTATTTTCCTTATACTAATCATGAGACAAACACATTGGGAGGTGAGATATTGGTCATGAAATAGCAAAAAAGTAATTCCACTTCATCATCTTCTCTACATTTTCTTTTGGATGTTTAAAATAACAAAGCGCAAGAAACAAAAAATCAATCAACAATTGGAAGTTTACAACCACAAACTTCTATACAATACATGACTTTCATCACTTGTTTTTATAATGACATCAACCAAAGACTTGCAAGTTATTATCTGCTTGCCATTGTGATCCATTTTTTCAGATAATTCTACTCATAAGTTCATCAAACCAAGTGCCACAGAGATCCCAAAAACTTTCAAACTTCAAATCTAACTAACATGCAATAGCCTGACATCTAATGGATTAAACAGATGAACAATGGCAAGAAGCAAGAAGAAGAGACTACTTGTTTTTGGCAACAGAATCATCGATAGAAGTAAGTTTTTGTTCTTGAAGAAGTTGAAGAAATACCTTGGGGTTGAAGCAAATTTCCAACTAAGAAAATCCAAGTCCCCCTGTCCCTAGCCAAAACAATTTCTCAAACTCAAAACATAATTTGGCTGGCATAGATGGCTTTTGAACTAATTTCTCAAACTCAAATACCTTGGTATCGGAGTTTGAAGTGGGTTAACGATGTGCATGGTGTGTTTATGATGGGCGTGGTGTCGAAGATATAGATGCTCTTGCACGCTCCTGTAATATGAACCAAGACATTTCAATCAGGTAATATGAACTTTAAGAAAGATGTGACAAAAATATTGTTCAAATTACCCTGAGATAAATTTAAGTTGCAATTCAAGCTACATTAGATTAGAATCAAACTTTATTTATTCTGAATTATCATAAATTTTGGGTGGATGATAATCTAGAGTGATGGTATTTTCATTAATACATTTTAGAATTTTTTATGATCAGAAAATATGAAAGTTACAACTCTTAAAATGCCTCATGAAAGTTACAACTCTTAAAATGCCTCATGAAAGGTCAAAGGTGTTCAAGAAAGCCATTCAAGAGACTATATAAAGCCATGTATGTTGAACAATATAGTAAAAGTTAATGACTAAATTTCTTTGTAGTTCTATGCAGTTTAGATTACATGCTTAGAGTCATTCAAGCTTGTCTTGATCTATCTTGCTTGTGAAGTGATTCGAATTTCAAATAAGCGTTCTTGCCTTGAGATATTTGATCAACAAGGTGATCGAATCTTATTTGGAATGATTCCTTATTGTTCTGAGATTCTTGGATATATTTAGATCTAAAAGTCTTATTTTTCATGTTAGATCAAATTCCTAAAAGTTGCAATCATTTGGAATGAAATCAACTTGATTCGAGAGTTTTAGCATTTGGGATATTGGGGTTTACATATCCGGGGTGTTTTCGAAAGTTCTTAGATTCAACTTGCTAAGGTTACACTATTACATTATTTTTTCTTTTAAACTGCACTCGAACCTGATTTTGAAGTTGAAGACTTAAGCAAGAGAAAGGGATTCAGAGTTAGCAGGAGACTGAAATATTCAAAGAAAAAGCTTATTTCTTGTAGTGTTTGTCCTGTAATGAAAAAACTAATAGCTACAGTTTTCATCGTCAGTAAAGAGCCATGAATATTGAACGAGCATTTCGTAATATTAATCGACAGTACTTGAGATTTTTTAATAATACCTCAGCTGCAACAAGATTGAAATGCGTACCTTGGGTTCGATTTAATACCGCTTGTACTGCTAATCTCAACAGGTTGTGTGGAGATATAACATAGTGGCGTCTATGTTGAATCAATCAAGAAACCTTCTGTAACAGAAAGTCTACCGTTAGCAGATATTGTCCTCTCTATGGAAATCTTTCCCTCAAAGTTTTTAAAACGCGTCTACTAAGGAAAAGCTTCCACACCCTTACAAAGAATGTTTCGTTCTCCTCCCCAACCGATGTGGGATCTCACAATCCACCCCCTTTGAACCACAACGTCCTCACTGGCACTCATTCCCTTCTCCAATCCCAGCATTCTTGCTGGCACACCGCCTCATGTCCACCTCCTTCAGGGCTCAGCCTCCTCGCTAGCACATCGCCTGGTGTCTAGCTCTGATACCATTTGTAACGGCCCAAGCCCCCTGTTAACAGATATTGTCCTCTCTATGAAAACCTCTCCCTCAAGGTTTTTAAAACACGTCTACTAGAGAGAGGTTTCCACACCCTCATAAAGAACATTTCGTTCTTCTCCTTAACTGATGTGGGATCTCACAATCCACCCCCCTTCAGAGCTCAGCGTCCTCGCTGGCACTCATTCCTTTCTCCAATCGATGTGGAACACCCCAATCCACCCCCTTCAGGGCCTAGTGTCGTTGCTGGCACACTGCCTCATGACCACTCCCTTCGGAACTTAACCTCATCGCTAGCACATCGTCCAGTGTCTGGCTATGATACCATTTGTAACGGTCCAAGCAATCCAAGCCCACCGTTAGCAGATATTGTCCTCTCTATGAAAACATCTCCCTCAAGGTTTTTAAAACGCGTCTATTAGGGAGAAGTTTCCACACCCTTATAAAATTATTTCATTCTCCTCCCAACCGATATGGTATCTCACACCTTCAAGTGGTCTCTAGAAAATGTGGTTACTGTCAATTGATACATCAACCAATCATCCAACAACTCGAGTTCCGGCCGGTTGCTGCAGAATTTGTGATAACCATTGAGCTTTTATTCCTTTACTTCAAGTCGTTTCACAGTTTACAACCTTACTTGAATAGGATCTGTTAATTCAAGTCGTTTCACAGTTTACACTGGCTTGTTTTACTGCACTCAACGTTTCAAATATTCTCAACCCCAAAGGATGAGACTTGTCCCCTCCATAGAATTTATGTACAACTCCTTCAATGGTTATCCAGCTACAACCAGGGAGTTTCGTCAAACCCAGCTCTCTCATCTTCCCTCTAGTCAACGAAACGCCATGCGACATTCCAAGAGATTCATATATACCAATCAAGGCTATAAAATTGCTTGGATTCTTAGGTTCCAACTTGAAAAGCCGGTTAGCTGCAATTTCTCCTATCTCAATGTTCTTGTGCATCATACAACCAGAAAGCAGAGCACCCCAAACGCTTGCTGCGGCTGTGTGTTTCATATTTATTATCAACATAAACGCTTCCTGCAGAAAGCCAAAGCGACTCAGAAGATCAACAACACAAGCATAATGTTCTACCGTCGGTTCAACCTCATAATCTGAAACAAAAGACTTGAAAATTCTCCACCCTTCATTGATGTAACCTGCGTGACTGCAACTAGCCAAAATGGCTGTTAGTGTTACAGAATTGGGTTGGATTCCACAATCCTTCATTTTGTTAAACAGTGCCAAGGATTTCTCTCCTTTCCCATGAGCCCCATAACAAGATATCATTGTTGTCCATGTAACAATATTCGTGCTACTCATATTCCTAAAGACCTCTTCAGCATCAAACAGGCTTCCACACTTTGCATACATATCAATCAATGAGTTCCCAATAGCAACATCAGCAACAAATAATTGACTCTTCAAAACTAAGCAATGAATTTCTTGGCCTTTTCTCAAATCTCCTTCCCCTCCACAAGCATTCAAAACGCTAGGAATTGTCATGATATCCATCTTCACTCCTTCAAAGAGCATGCGCTTGAAACAATCCAATGCATCCCCATAAAGCCCAGCCCTCCCATACCCAGAAATCATTGAGTTCCAAGAAATTGTATCTTTCAAAATCATATTATCAAACACCTTCTTAGCATCTCCCACAACCCCATATTTGGCATAGAAATCCAAAACCGTACTGGCTACCACAACATATCCTTCAAACCCCAGCTTAATTGTCCAACAATGAAGTCTCTTCCCCATATAAACATCTCCTATACCAACACTAACCTTAAACATCTGGGGCAAAGTATAGTGATCAGGCAGAAAACCAAGTCCCCTAAACTCGTTAAACACATTAATTGCATCAAAATGTAAAGAACTATGAACATAAGAAGCAATCAAGATATTCCAGGAGTGCATGTTTCTCTGAGTCATTTTGTCAAACACCTTGCGGGCGTCATGCAGAACCCCACATTTGCAATACACCAAAAGGAGATCTGTCACAAGAGTTAAATGTGGAATCAAACCATGAATTAGGATTTGCGCGTGTGCTTGCTTTGCTTGAGCAACTTCATTAAGACGAGCACAGTTTCTGAGAATTAAAGAGAAACGAGAAGTGCTCTGAGACATGGATGCCTACCAAAATCACAGAATAGCCCAGAAATATAAGCTGAAAGCTTGTAAGGTCTAAATGAGTCGCCGGTAGTGTAGGCCGCTCGTGGTTATGCCGCTGTAGCTCGCCGGAGAAGGAAGGTCAGCAAGGGGTGAAGTTGACGGCCAAAGGGTGAAATTGTTTAGTTACCCACGTCTTGTTGGTAGGGATGCTCCACAACTTTTCCTTTCTCATTCTCCTTCGGGTTCGTTGGAGCTTCTTTCGCCTTCGTTTTCGGCTCGGTATCGCAAAGAAAACAAAACAAAAGGCGCGAGAAAAAGAGAATGAAATACGAGTGAATAGATTGCATTCGACAGTATACCGAGCGGGCCTACCAAAAGTTGTTTTAAGAGAGTCATTTACGACCCTCTTGTTAGACGAACACGACTCTCCACAATGGTATGATATCGTCCACTTTGAGCATAAGCTCTCATGGCTTTGCTTTGGGATTCCCCAAAAGGCCTCACACCAATGGAGTTAGTATTCCTCACTTATAAACCCATGATCACACCCTAAATTAGTCGATGTGGGACTTCCATCATCCAACACCTCTCATATATAGCCATCTCTCCCGATCTTTTTCTTTTACATGCGAATAAATTCAATCCTGAACCTATGAGATTAAGCAAAGATGCAGAGGACTGCTCCTACACGGACATAGAGTCAATTGTGCTTGTGTAGCAACTACCGTACGGTCTGATTTCTTCTTCTGTCTTAGGTATGTCTTAGGTACGTTTATTTCTAAAATACCAGAATCATTTTTCTAAAATATATAAATAATGGGTTCTGTACAATTATTTGGCTCGACACGGTTGGTCTAGTGATGATATTTTAACCGAATATTCTCGAGCTACTTTTTGCGTAACTCTTCTCAATAGTCCGTCATCCATACAATGGGTTCTGTACACTCTTGGGCTAGTGATGATATTTTAACCGAATCTTCTCGAGCTACTTTTTGCGTAACTCTTCTCAATAGTCCATCATCCATATCATTTCTTTCCGACTTCAACTATTGTCACATACTTTGCCTTAATAGATGAAAAATTAACGCAATTCTAAAGCCAGAACATCTAACTTGCAGTTTCATCTATTGTTTGCTAGAGTCTACATCTCCACTCAAATCAACATCCACGAAACCGTGTAGAGCTATTTTGTCATTTCAACAACAAAGTCGTTTCAGGGGTTGCACAACTCACACTCGATCTAAACGAAGAGCACAAAAAACAAGAGAAAGAAAACGTAAAGAGAAATATATGTGGTAACACCGACATACTATTACGCCACTAATAACCCGTTCAAACATGATAGGAAACCAAATAGTATTCAATGGAACTTACAAAGAAATCCCATAGAGAATACCACAAAATTATACATTTTTTTAAGTAGACAGAGACAAGAAATACCAACGTTGGAAGACTGTTTCTTTTCTTGTCTTGTAGTTCTGCCGGCTTTGGTCAAAATTACTTCCGCCGGCAGCTCACGAACTCATAATATAAAAGCTTCACTCCAAAACTTGATCTTCTTCATCATACATTTGGCGAATAACTCAAAGTGAAGATGATCGTTGGACCTCGTCAGCTTCATCTCTTCCTCTTCGTCGTTGCAACGTTCAATCATTTCTGCGGTAAGGTTTAGAGCCTCTGAGTGCTTTAACGACCGACCCAAAGCTCAAGCTTTACTTTCAATTTTATTGTTTGTTAGGAACTACGACTCTCCGTAATGGTATGATATTATCTACTTTGAGCATAAGCTTTCACGACTCTCTACAATGATACAATCACTTTGAGCATAAGCTCTTATTGCTTTGCTTTGGGTTTCCTCAAAAATCTTCATACCAATGGAGATGTATTCCTTACTTAGCCAATGTGCAACAATCCTCAACAATGCTCTTCTCGAACAAAATACACCATAGAGCCTCCTCTAAGACCTATGGTGGAGCCCTCGAACAACCTCCCCTTAATCGAGGCTCGACTCCTTATCTGGAGTCCTCGAACAAAGTACACTTGAGTCACTTTTGACTATACCTTTGAGGATTGTATTGACATGGCTAAGTTAAGGGCATGGCTCTATTACCATGTTAAGAATCACGGACCTTCCCAATGGTAGGATATTGTCCACTTTGAGTATAAGCTCTCATAGCTTTGCTTTGGGATTCCCAAAAGGTTTCGTACGAATGGACTTATAAACCTTTGATCATTCCCTAAGTTAACCAACGTGGACTCTCTCCCAACGATCGTAAACCTTAATACTTTCTATGTAGATGGAAAAAAAGTGATGATGGAGTACATCGGAGCAACAGGCATTCCAATCACCTTCGATAGCGTCCCGATCTTCGATGATATCGATTTCCATTTCATCCTCAGCTTCGCCATCGACGCAGATCCCTCCGGCAATCCTCAAAATGGGAAATTCTCCAACTATTGGGAGCCCTCACTAACCCCAGGATCAGTTGCAGCCATTAAAGCCGAACACCCGAACGTCAAAGCCCTAGCGAGCCTCTCGGGTTGGAGCCTCGGCGACACCGTCCTCCGATGGCAAAACCCTCGAAACCCTAATCTCTGGATCACCAATGCCTTCTCCACTCTCAAAGCTCTTATCATAAAATACCACCTCGACGGCATCGACATCGACTATGAGAACTTCCCAAAACACGGCTCAAACTTCGCCTTCTGCATCGGCGAGCTCATAACCCTACTTAAGAACCAAAGCGTCATCTCCGTAGCCACAATTGCGCCGTATTACTCGACGGTTACACCTTACTTGGAGCTCTTCCATGGCTATGGGGAGGTGATTGATTATGTCAACTACCAATTTTATACCGACAAAGTGAGAACGGCTAAGGCTTACTTGAAGAGATTTGAGGTTAGAGCTAAGGAGTTTGGAGAAGGGAAGTTGCTACCAAGCTATGAGGTGAATGGGAGAGGGATTCAAGGGGATGCCTTTTTTGAAGCTTTGAATTTGTTGGATGAAAATGGATTTGATATCAATGGAGTCATGATCTTCTCTGCGGATGCTTCCCTCTCCAATGGCTTCCATTTCGAAACGAGATCTCAACAGTTCTTGCTCAACTCGACCATCTCGTGATTCCTTCGGAGAAATTAGAGTGGGTTTTGTGAGTTAATAAGCTTTACTTATACGATGTATTTATAGGTGAAATTATTAATCGTGGAGTATTTATAAGAGAAGTTATTAGTCGTGGTGCCTGTTTTAATCGTAGAAAATTGAAAAGTGTTGTGCTTGAAGAGTTTTAGTACAAAGAAACTCTTCGGGCAAGTTATCGTGTTATTTATTCATTTCTTTCTACTTCGATTATTCGTTTCGGTGTTGATATGAGCCAAGACATCAATCATATAAGATAAACTTTATCAAAGATGTGAAGAAAATGTTGTTTAAATTATCACGAGATGTTGCAATTCATGTCACATTATAGATGAATCAAGTTCAATTTATTCTTAGATGATTACAAATTTTGGGTGGATGGTAATTTAGACTTACCGTGTTTTTGTAATGTACTTTAAGGTTTATTTATATAGAGACTACTTATGGTCATAAAGTATGAAAGTTACAACTCTTGGAATGACTCATGCAAGGTTAAGATTTTTTATTTTGAGACTATATAAAGTACAGACATAGAAAATGCAGTTTCCTTTAGACAATGACTAAGTTTTTTTTTCCGCAATCCTATATAGTTTAGATTATACGTAGAATTATTCGAGCTTGACATGATCAATTTTGTTTATGGAGTAATTCGAATCTCAAACAAATGTTCTTGACTTAAGATATTTGATCAACAAGGTAATTTAAATTTTACTTTCCCTTGGAGTGATTCAACATTAGGGCTAAGTGTTTTTGTTGAAAATAAAACTCGCTCAAATACGAATTTGTTAAAACAACACTCACTAATCTGCGAAGTGATCTCACACTCACTAACAATTGAATGCTCCGATACTGCTATGCTAAAGTATTACTCACGTACTCGTAAAAGAGATGTCGAAAGGGGAGAGACAAGGAGACAAAGAATTCTGGAGAAAAAAAAACTAATGGAGACAATTTACTTAAAAGGAGACAATTTATCTAGCTCTTTTGCTCGCTCTTACCATGAAAACAAACTAATTTATACGCTTTCTAAAAGCTAAATATGGCCATCAGAAAGTTACCATTTTCTAACCCATAAGCCCACTATTCCTGAACCCACTCAACTTAACTAAAAATAAAAACTACCCTTCATCATTTAAGTTTATTCCATTTGTTCTTACCTTCCCTTAACAATTATATGTAGCTTCTATATAGCTGAGATTGCATGTTTAGAATCATTCAAGCTAGACATGATCAATCTTGCTTGTGAAGTGTTTCGAATCTCAAGCATCCCTTTACAATTCTATGTAGCTGAGATTGCATGTTTAGAATCATTCAAGCTAAACATGATCAACCTTGCTTGTGAAGTAATTCGAATCTCAAACATCCCTTTACAATTCTATGTAGCTAAGATTGCATGTTTAGAATCATTCAAGCTAGACATGATCAACCTTGCTTGTGGAGTGATTCGAATCTCAAGCAAGTGTTCTTGCCTTGAGATATTCGATCAACAAGTAATCCAAATCTTATTTCCATTGTAGTAATTCTTTATCATTTGGTATCAAAACTTTCCCTTGAGTTGATTTCTTATCAAATATGCTTCGATAGAACGGATCGAGGATCAAAATCATTGAACAAACTAAAAGCTAGAAATGGATAAATAAAAGAGAAGGGTCATAAAGCAGTTCTGAGTACACATAGAAATGAAGATTTAGAGCACAAAATGTGTAAAGAAAAGATCATTTAAGTTTGGTTAAGATAATGTTGCTAATATCTTGAGCAACAGCCTTTGCATCAGCACAAACGCCAGCCAGCCCTTGCATTGACAGCCCAACACAGTAAGCATTCTTGTCTCCCTTCCAATGATTTGGAGCTTGGCTTCTTGGCATTCCACGTTCGTTTAGCACAACTTCATAATCCTACATAAATAACATAATTTGTTCGTTAGTTAGTCTCGAGTATAAGAATTCGGGAAAGAATTATGATACAAATAAATACTTACTAAGCGTAACGCTCCATGTCCCGACATTTCTCACTCGTGCTTTCTAGAAAAACTTCTAGAAAGTGACTCAACATAGAATCGTTTCACGCAAAACACGCTTAACTTTGGAGTTCTTATACGAAAAAATCATCTACCTTGAACCGCTCTGGGTCCATGGGAACTTTTTTTTTAGCGGTTGCTTACTTCTTAAAGTTGGGATTTACAATTTACATAACCTGACGACTTATAACGTGAATGATTTCGGTTCATTCATATTGGGCTTTCCCTTTCGGGCTTTCCCTTAAGGTTCTTAAAGCACGTTTGCTGTGGAGAGATTTCCACACCTTTATAAAGGGTGTGGTTCAAAGGGCTTTCCCTTAAGGTTCTTAAAACACGTTTGCTATGGAGAGATTTCCACACCTTTATAAAGGGTGTTTTGTTCTCCTCTCCAACCGATGTGGGACATCACAATCCACCCCCCTTCGAGGCCCAGCGTCCTTGCTAGGACTCGTTCCTTTCTCCAAATGATGTGGGACTCCACCAAATCAAGGGGCCAGCGGCCTTGCAGGCACTCGTTCCTTTCTCCAAACGATGTGGGACCCCACCAAATCCACCCCCTTTGGGGCCCAACGTCTTTACCGGCACACCACCTCATGCTCAGTTGCAATTCATTGCAAAGTGATCCATTTTCATTCGGATATGATTTCAGTTCATTCATATTGGGCTTTCCCTTTCAGGCTTCCCCTTAAGGTTTTTAAAACACGTCTGCTTTGGTGAGGTTTCCACACCCTTATAAAGAATGTTTCGTTCTCCTCCCCAAACGATGTGGGACATCACAATCCACCCCCCTTTGGGGCCCAAAGTTCTTGCAGGCACTCATTCCTTTCTCTAAGAGATGTGGGACCCCCACAAAATCCACCCCCTTCGGGGCCCAACATCTTTACTGGCACACCACCTCATGTTTATCCCCTTCGGGGAACAGCCTCCTCGTTGGCACATTTTTCGATGTTTGGCTCTGATACCATTTGTAACGGCCCAAGCCCACCGTTAGCCAATATTGTCTTCTTTGGGCTTTCCTTTTCGGGAGCCCTCAAGGTTTTTAAAACGCGTCTGCTAGGGAGAGGTTTCCACACCCTTATAAATGGTATTTCGTTATCCTCCCCAACCGATGTGGGAAATCACACGTATAACCGTTTTCATTTTTATTTTTCATGTTTCAAATATATATATATATATATGGAAATGATAGATTCTTGAAGTTTGGTGGTAAAGTAAAAAGGCTACCTTCAGCCACTTGTTAGCACAACTTTTATAGCCAGTGGCAAACACAATGGCATCAAAGTTCTTCCTCGCTCCATTTTCAAACTCAACGGTGTCCCCCTTGATGTTTGATATTTGTGGAAAAACCTATGCACAACCAACAAACACATTATAAAAAAAAAAAAAAAAAAACATTTCAAACAACTTCCTCGATCATGTCGGGACAGTTGCACGAGCGACTCAAGAATATTGCCGAGCTTAGCAGATAAAAAAAACTACATAATTACCTTAATTTCCCCGGATCGAATCTTGGAAATGGTCCCGACATCAATAACGGGCGTTTTTCCAGTGAGGGCTTTGAATTGCATCGGACCCAACTTTGGCCGAACTATGCCATGAGCCGACAAGTCGCCAAACTTAACCATAGCCAAGCCTACAAGAAGCGTATCTACGACATCGAGTGGCAAACACTTCCTCAAAACCATTCCCAAATACACCATTTGCCTCTTCACCACGTGCATCTTCAACACCAAATACGACAATAGTGACAATTATGTTCTTTCAACAAATCTTAAAATTAGAATCGGTTATCGTCAACTTTTCGAAAAACATTATATCCGTTTCATACTCCGAAAATTTGTGTTATTATTTTATCCGAGAAAATATTTATAATTTTATAAAAAAAGAAAAACATACGAACAAAAAGACAAAGAACAACATGGTAAGTTTTGTTTCTACTTTTGTTTGCAAAGGTTGACTTAATTCTATGTTAATGCATCGAATGTGAACTTAAGGAAGTGATTAGGGTAACACGTGTTTATATGGATGCATGCAAAATAATACAAAATTTAATTGATAACTCATAATAATTAAATTAAATTAATAATAATAATAACCTTAAACTCAACTGCATGCAACTATGTCTCTCCTTGATTTACAAATGTATGCAATACCTTAAAAACATCAAAAAAATCTTAACTAATGCATGCACCTTTGACAACCAATCCAGACAAAACAAAAAGTTGAGATGATTTCATTAAGACATTAGACGATCAAATCCCGACCCAAAACACGTTTCGAATTTTGGTCAACTAAGATGTTCGAGTATCGAGTTTAGACAAAAAAACGAAAAACGTTTCAAATTTTAACGAATTTATACGTACCATCGATCTATATATTCGTTGAGTTCGAACCGAAAGGTAAAAAGGAGTAGAATACAATGATTGCATGCAAAAACAACACAATGTGTGGATCACTTACCTATTTTGAACATAGAAAGTTAAGTAACTTTTAGCTTATGAGAAACATAGAGAGCTTACTGGACTTCTAATAACGATTGAAGGGCGAGCTCCATAGTTTGAGAGATCAAAAGAAATTTCCATGCCGGAATTCCCACACCCAACCACCAAAACATCTTTCCCTTCATAATCTCGTCCATTCTTATATAGACTAGAATGAACGATCCCTCCGCGGAACGTTTTTAACCCGTTCATCTCCGGCATGTTCGCGACGCTATTCTCTCCGCTTGCAACGACCAAAAACTCCGACGCATAAACCTCCATCTCCCCCGTCTCGATATTCCTCACTTCCACCCTCCACATATTCTCCCCTTCCTCCTTCAACCATGCTTTCTCCACGTTCCTGACATGTCAATACTTCGTTAGATATCAATATTATAACAGCCTAAGTCCACTACTAATAGATATTGTTTCAGGGTTTTCCTTTAAGATTTTTAAAACGTGTCTACTAGGGAGAGATTTCCACAACTGATGTGGGATCTAGTAGACTTTGACATCTATATCAATACCGCTACTAGTAGATAGTGTTTCAGGGTTTCCCTTAAAATTTTTAAAACACGTCTATTAGGGAGAGGTTTCCACAACGGATGTGGGAGCTAGTAGACTTTGACATCTGTATCAATACCGCTATTAACTTTTACCTGTGAAACCGAGGCTTTATGTTGAACTTGGCGACGTAATTGTCGACGTACTCGAGAAAGGTGGCTCGTGGCATGAACGTCGGAGTGGAAGCAGAGTGAGACATCAAGGGAAGAGAGCAAAAATCTTTGGCTAAGTGAAGGCATAAGCGATCATAAGCTCTCTTCTTCCAAAGAGAAGCATAACAATCTTCTTTCTCCAAGACAATGTTTGGAATGGAAAGGTAATTTAAGCAAGCAGAGGTAGCCAAGCCAGAAGGGCCAGCACCCACAATCACCACTTTCACTTCTTCCATTTCACAATAATATGAACTTTTTATTTTTATTTTTTTCAGTGATTTATTTTTTAATTTCATTTATGTTTTTATAGTGAAAGGGAGAAGCTAGCTGCCAAAGGAAGTTTATGGTAATTGTCTTTGTGGCGTTTGCTTTCATTAAAAGCCTTTTTTTTCCCTAAAAGATAAAGATGAAGTGTTTCTTGACTCTTATAAGCTTCGGTTTAGCTTTTAATTTCGAACGTTTAATGAATTTAAGAGTATATTTGCAACGATCGGGTACGAATTTGGGTTTTAGAAGGTAAGTCAACGGGTTATTTACAACAACTTAGAATGTAACGACCTTAATTTTTTTACGGTAATAAAATTGCTACCACGTGACATGACTCGTAAGTGTAGAAATATTCAATCATGGACTTTAACGTTCATGGAGAAATTTTAAAACAACACAAAAACAAGGAAGTATAGAGTCCGGACCGTTGACACACAAACATAGATGAGATTCCCTTGTCATTCCTGGCATAATTTAGATGAATTATGTTTACATAACTTTCATGACATGGTCTACAGAGGTTTATGCATCATATATTATTGATTTCATAACAATTTTACGCAACATGAGCGGGAGTCACATTATAGCGTATCTTATATACAAGGCATAGCATATCATAGTATATTATTTGTACATATGACACGTGCAGGGGCCACGGGGCATGTGTTATCATACATAATACAATTCATCCAATCAAACCAACAGTAGAGCAATTTAGCGGGTTGGCATGAGTGGGAGTCAATAAATAGTCCTAAAGTTGGTTTGAACTGCTCATAAAAGTCCAATTTAACCTACATAACCTACGTCGTCACTGAGTTAGAGCACGATACACTTAATTCATCCAACGGTGTCAACTGATTCAACTTAGATTAATAATAACTTAAATTGACTAGAATGAGGTCATACCCTCAATTACTCCTCAAAATGTCAAAATTAGTCACCAAATGGTCCAAAACATTAGAATCATGTAACGGCCTAAATCCACCGCTAGCAGATATTGTCCTCTTTGGGCTTTCCCTTTCGGGCTTCCCCTCAAGGCTTTAAAACACGTCTACTAAGAGAAGATTTCCACACCCTTATAAATGGTGGTTTGTTCTCCTCCCCAACCAATATGGAACATCACAATACTCCGTTGAGCCAAGTTGAGTTAAGCCAACGTTAGAAGGCAAGCGACTCAGAATAGGGTCGGGGTCAGTTTTGTGAGATCCCACATCAGTTGGAGAGAAAAACAAAACATTCCTTATAAGAGTATGAAAACCTCTCTCTAGCAAACACATTTTAAAACCATGAGACTGATAGCGATCCATAACGGATCAAAACGAACAATATCTACTAACAGTAAACGTGTGTTTATTACATCTTCGAAATTGTATACGTTTATCAAGATGATTCGATGAATCTACTTAACCATAACCCAATTGAGGAAAAAAACACCCACCAACAAATAGTTGTAATGTTATGAGGAGAACTATTTCCAAAACCCAAATATGTACAAACTATAGGATTCTTCATTAAAAATGTAATCAAAAGTGTTCATACGCCCATGCAACAGTTACAATTTTATGTAATGTCTTGCCTGGATTTAGGGTTCATAGAATCCATTGGAATTAAAGTGTCCATAGCCAATATGGTTTTATTTTTTTTGGTATGATCATTATTGTAAAAGGTATAAAAAAGTGCATAGCTGGTGAGTTTTATACTCTTTTCAAAATTTGGATATGAATCATCGAATCTCGTAAAAGTTAGTTTTAATTAGAGATATTGATTGAAATCAAACGAAAAATTGTTGTTTTAAACTAGAAATGGAGTGAAGACGGAAATGTAGATTATATTCTTTGTTCCTGTCTCGACGTGTTTACGTTAATGGACGCTTTAAATTGCCCCTTGTTTTGACGCCCGAGGATTAAGAAAGGAAGGCTGTACCGCGTTGAAAAGAAAAAGGTGGGCCCTCTTTTGGTGACACGTAGAGAAATCTTCTCATGCAGCCATTAATTCCATTCAAATGAAAAAAAAATAAAAATAAAAAATAAATCTCATGGGTTTAAAGAAATTAAAAAAAAAAATTAAACGGGATGAGAAATTGAACAGGCACGGTGAATATAATCCCGTTCATGACATTATTTATGTAAAGAAGAAAAAGATGTTCTTCACTCCCTCCCTCGTTCCCGTCTAAGACTAAGACTGACACAATATCTACCACTTACAAGTATGAATAGATCTGAAAAATATTATTACTCAAGTAAACAATACTGCGTTAAAGAATGAGAAATAGAATTCGGATCCAACGTTCATCTTTCATTGATATTCACAGTGTTTAGATAGAATACAAGCTACCAACTAATACCTACGGGAAAATATAAACTAACTAAATCTTGAAAATAAAATAAAATATACTATTGATGAAAAGATATTAGATATATTCTGTAACTAATATATTCTCCAAATATTAACTAATTACGAATATCTTGTCACGATCCTACATTTTTTTCCAGTGTCGTGATCTTGACACGTTCATGACTAGCCTTAAGGGGAATTAAGCTCCATATATATTTTTCGCCCCGACTTTGTGGTTTTGTCGGACCTTAGGCGAGGTTTGTCTTCGCCAATCGAACATCGCTTGTGCGTAATCCAAGTTTTTTCAACCACACACGCCGCCTGCGCGTGCATGTTCGATCGTCTGCGACACATCCGACTTGCCTCTACACTAGGTCAAGTCATTCGGCTTGACCTTGCCTCTACTCGAGCCAAGGTCTCTCAATGCAACGTCGCATCTCATCTTGTCATTTCGATCTAATTCAAACTAACAATAAGTTGCACTAAATTTTGACATAAGACAGGAATCCCCTTGCCATTGAAAGCTGGTTCCCACAGGGCACATTCTCGTGTATAAAATGGACATATCTAAACACAGTTACAACGTTTTGGGTTATTTATTCAAATTTTTTATTCTACGGGTAAAATATTTATTTATTTTCAAATATTTCAATGTATTTTAAAAAAATTTATTCTAAAGACTTATATTTTTAAAATTAACAAAATTTCAAGTGGTTCATTAACGGAAATTAATTCTAAAAAAATTTATAGACCCACTCAATAGAACCCGACTCAAATAAGTTGATAACCTAGTCTAAACAAGACGAATTAGGTTTGATTGGTCGGTTCACTTAGTCTTTTCAACATTATCCTTTTTCATTGTAACGACCCTAATTTTCTACTGAAATAGAGCCGCTATCATATGCATGACGTGACCTTTTTATGCAGAAACATCTATTAAAAATAATTCATAGAACGATATCATGGACGTAAACGTTTGCAAAAATTTTAAAACAAAGCAATGAAAAATAATCAATGTAAAATATAAATAAATAAATATTAAAACGATGCTGCGATTTAACGTAAGAACTAAAAAATAAATAAAATACAACTGTCTTAATACAAGTTTCATGGTTGTCAACATGACGTCGCTGTCATTCATATAAGGGTGTCTTGCCATTACCTAAAATATAAGAATAGCACATAGCTCGATGACCATGAGTGGTATGGAATTACAACTAGGTCAAAAGTCTATTTTACCTAACTACATATTATGCCTTAACTTGAGTCTTTAATGAACAATTTGTTTATGAATTTGTACGGAAGAGAGAACTTCTCCTCTGCTTATCTCGTGAAATTATATTTTTCGTTCCATATATCGTCAAATTTTTAAAAGATTAAACATGTTAAGTCGACTACAAAAGTCATTTTCACATATACAGATTAAAGGACAAACGCTCAAAGCAAGGAGTTCAGTACTCACTTAAAATTAAAATCAAGTTGCAATATGTTCATCGTGACTCATACAAACTCATTCAATGATGATTTAGGTAAGTAACCGAATTCCACGCTTGAAAAATCAACTTATAATCACAATATTCAAAAACATAAAACTTAACGAAATAGTTACGCCACTACGATTTTTAAGATCAAGCTTTCGAATTAAAGCTAAACATCATATAGTACAAGATTTCATCAAAAAAGTAAACATCGATATCGACATGGACATGCTTAAAATTAGATATTAGACTTAGAGTATTAGACATGTCGCTATTTTCATCGATATTTCTACGTCTAATATGAATTCGACATCGAGATGATATCGAGACAAGAGGTAAATCAAAATTTTGATTACAAAGGAAAGTGATGATATTTAGCTGACTAAAAAGGGGCAGTGACAATGTCTCTAAGCTGATAAAGAGGTGGAAGCTCATCAGCATCTTGTTCATGGAACCAATTCTCCATTATGGATTCATCTTCATCTCGAATTGCTTTGCATTCCACTGCTTCTAATCCCTGCATTTTCCATACTTCATCATCATATAATCCTTTTCCTTATAGTGATTGTAATAGCGCTATTACATCGGGTTACAAATAAACCAACCGCTATTACAATCGTTGTAACCCTCACAACTTTAAAACGCGTCTATTAGGGAGAGGTTTCCACACGCTTATAAAAAATGTTTCATTCCCCTCTCTAACTAATGTGCGATCTCACAATCCACCCCTTTGAGGGTCAGTATCCTCGCTGGCACACCGTTCAGTGTCTGGTTCTGATACTATTAGTAATAGTTCAAACCTATTGTTACTAGATATTGTCCACTTTGGCCCGTTACGTATCATCGTTAGCCTCACAGTTTCAAAATGCGTCTATTAGGAAGAGGTTTCCACTCTCTTGTAAGGAATGCTTCGTTCTCCCTCTACAACGAATATGAGATCTCACAATCCACCCCTCTAGAGGGTGAACGTCCTCGTTGGCACACTGTCTGTTGTCTGGCTTTGAAACCATTTGTAATAGCCCAAACCCACCACTAGTAGATATGTCCGCTTTGGCCCATTACGTACCGCCACCAACTTAGGGAGAGATTTCCACACCCTTACCAGAAATGCTTGTTCCCCTTTCCAACCAACATGGGATCTCACAATCCACCCTCTTAGGGTCCAAAGCCCTCATTGGTACACTGCCCATCCACCCTCTTAAGGGCCAAAGCTCTCACTGGTACACTGTACTGACTCTGATACTATTTGTAATAGCCCAACCCCACTACTAATAGACATGTCCGCTTTGGCCTATTACGTAACATCATCAACCTCACAATTTTAAAGGAGTGATCTTCATACCCATATAAGGAATGTTTCGTTACCCGCTCCAACCAATATGTAATCAATATGGAATCAGATAGTGATTGATAGCGGAATTTGTGTATGATATTACCTCTGTGAAGATCTTGATTGCTTCTTCCATGCTAGTTGTGTTCATCACGTACAGCGCTGCTTCCTGCAGTTCATCACAAAACCATTGCTCATCTGAAAGCCTTACTCAAACCAAAAACACGCACGCACACACAATATTAAGCCTTTCATACTTACTCTTGCAAATTGGATTTGGTTCGGGCTCTGTTTCAATGGATGATTTCCTGTCCATTCTTCCCATTATGGCTTCAATCAACCTTATCTTATCCATGCAAATGGAGGAACGAGGAGGAGAAGAAGGAAGGGAATGAAGCACCCCTTTTGTAAGCCATGGAGATGGAGTTCATGGAGCGTGGCAGCTTGCCATGTGGCTCTGTTTCATGGGGGAATCATGTCTGCCACGTGGCTGGGTAAGGATTAACCTGTCGGCCACGTGGCTTCTCCTCTGTCTGTCTTCGTCACCCCTAGCTAAATCTGTTGTCCTCCTCGGGGGTGTCGGTGAGAGAATGTGGTTGCAACGAGACACCTGGCATTGGGTGGGTCCCACTTGAGAAAGAACATGCACGTGATTAGCCTAATTTGTATGAGCTCTTAGAAACTAAGAAAGTGTTGGGATCTCACTTCAATTGAGGAGTGGAACGAAGTATTTTTTATAAGAGTGTTTCCTTGAGGGGAAGCTCGAAAGGAAAAATCCTATAAATACATCCACACCTTCAGTACCGTTGTTAAACTAATTCCATTTCGAGCTAATGAGAGGGTGTGTCCCGATTGTTAAAGTCCCAGCATCTCAAGGAAGCTACTCATCTACTCACCATATATGGAGAGGAGTACTGCATCTAGTAGAGGCGTACATTCAACCCGACAACCCGGACCAACCCAACCTGAACTATAAGAGTTGGATTGGGTTGGATTAGCATTTCAGGTAAGGTTGGATTCATTTTTCTAAACTCAAACTAAATCGGTTCGGTTTTGAATTCATGAGCAAAACCTTCGAGTCGCCCCGAGTCAAATAAAAATATATATAATATATTAAGAATTCTTTTATATGAATGAACTTACCCAAATTCATTGGTCTAATCCAATCTAAGTATATACCTGTTTCTTTTTATTATTTCGTTTAATTTCGTTTATATTATTTTGATTTCTTTTATATTATTTTGTTATTTTATTATTTTTAGCGTATAATATATACATGTTAATTCTTATTATTTTATTATTTTTAGCGTATAACATATACATGTTAATTCTTGTTATTTTATTTTATATTATTTTTATTTTTTTATATTATTTTGTTATTTTATTATTTTTAACATATAACTATTAATACATTTTATGCTATTTTTGAATAACAATTCACACATTTTATTATATAATACAAAATTTATTAATTATGACTTATACATACATTTAATTTGAAACAAGTTCATTATTAATTGTTAAATTATATATATATATATAAAATACAAAATTTATTATTTATGACTTATGCATACATTTCATATGAACTAAATAATTTTAAAGCATGTCTTTATTATTATTATCCACCAATTCTTAATAATTATAGATTGATTTGTGTGATTTGTGTGTGTTTGTGAACGTTTAATATATTTTATTTAAGATAGTATCCAAATAATTATAAATTGTGGATAAATAAAACTTAAAAATAATTGACAATCGTGTTAGACATATTGTCCACTTTGAGCATAAGCTCTCATGGCTTTGCTTTGGGCTTCCCCAACAGGCCTCAAACCAATGGAGTTAGTATTCCTCACTTATAAACCCATGATCATTCCCTAAATTAGCCCATGTGGGATTTCCATCATCCAACAAATCCAACCCAGACCCAACCCGAACCCAACAAAAAAATAGAGGGTTGAGTTGGGTTTTGAAAAGTTTTGGGTTGGGTTGGGTTAAAAAAATCTCCCAACCCCGCCGGACCATGTACACCCCAAACATCTAGTAAAATTATATTCTCAAACTCCTTATTTGGTAAGTACCCAAAATAGTAGACATGTTAAATCAGTTACAAAACTGGTTCTTACCATGCAAATAGAACGAACAAGCCCTCACAAGCAAACATAACTCAGACAGGATTAAGATCAAATAGCATTTGATTATCTTGTGAAGTATTAATCTTTTCAATTAATGGATTTACAAAGAGAGATTAAATATTTCATGTTCCAATTTTATACAAACTCATTGTATAGAATATTCCCACTCACATGTCTCCACATATATATCATTTGTAACATTTACAAAAGGGATGCAACAATATTATTATCGGGACAACACCCTTTAGTTATTACTTAAACATGATCCTACTATATGTCAATCACATACCGTTTGACAATGGCCCAACCCAATGCCCACCTCGGTCAACCCAATAGGCCAATGGTCAAGCAACCCATGCCCGTATCCCGACTGCGATCCTTATAAATGTTCTAATTATGATATCATGGAATGTCATAGATATTCTCAGATGTTGACAAGCAGGATCCAACGAACACCAAAGTAGGAAAATTATCGACTTCGCATCAAACTTATAAGTAAGTAGTTTTACTGTTGGAACGCATTCGGACTAGGTTGAATGAATTATATATTGTATGAATAACACGCACTCTATGACTTATCTACGTGTTATTACTTATATGATGTCAATCCTTGTATTTTATGATACCATGTTTATGTTATGGCGTACGAGACACTTGATGAATCACGTATGTAAAGATGAATGATATGACCTATCCATATATATATCTCATAAGAAGGTTATGTCATGAAATAGATCTACTCCTGCCCGCTCCTCTACACCGAGCGAGGCAATGAGACCAACAGATTCCAGACAGATTCTCTTCTCCTTTAATTCGACTGAGCCTTTGACGATATTTCCTATCCACGGGAAAAAGCTAATTGGATAAACAAGACAGGGATCAAAGACTCCTTATTCATCAGACAGATTGAACTCAGGGACAAGTGATTGAGTGAAGGAGAAAATAGTGGGCGGGTTAAGTGAGATCTATGCCGGCCGGCATTCCAGCCTTCCTTCTCATCAATGATTCAAGATAAGCAAAATGAAAAGGATTCCAATTGAGTGGTGGGGGAGAAGCAAGCCGAACCTCTGATCGACCTGGAAACATAACAAATTCCGTATCCATTTCTCATTTTTGAATGAATCGATGCTATTTGTTTATATAGCTTTCAAAACGATTGGGATCTTGAAGATCTGGAATAGATTGATTGCATATGAAAATATAATACCATGATTTGAAAACGTGGGACCTTATGTATGTTGTACGTCACGAGCAATATGTTTTATGCGGGTACATACACCATGTTATGATACACACCCCTTTTTTTTCATTGATTTTCGTAGTGTGAGCATGCGCTAGCTCGTAATCAAGCCTAAGGGTACCTAAATGAGCTCGCTTAGTGGGTTCTTGTGTGTGTTCGCGAATCTTGTATAGAGAAGTACTATGCATCCAACTCTACCTGAAAAAAAGAAAAGAAAGCTCGAGAAAGAATCACGAAAAGTAGGTCATACCATGAAATTATGTTGCATGTGATTGCATTTTTAGACGTCCTTGGAGTCAAGAATTTAAATTTTTTATTCGATAAAATACAATAAAAATAATAATAAAATATCACATTAATATTAATAACACCAATTTTAAACTTGATTAATTTTTTTATTTTAAATATTCTTTGTGAAATAATTATATTTTTGTATTTTTTTTTTTAAGAAATATCAATTAAAAATTGAAAAAGAAAAAGAAAAAGCGACGATGAACATTTTGCCTAAAACTTCGGTTGGTCTTTGTGTTCAGAGTCATTGAAATTTGATTGCAATGGAGAACTCGCAGAATTCAAACAGCAATCCAAACCCTAATCCGATTCGCATCCAGAATCTTGTATCGTCGCCGATTGCTGTGTTATGGCCGACAATTGATGGCTCATTGGGGCTGTCGGAGGAAGAATCGGTGAGCTATGCCCGCAGATTCTATAAATTTGGATTTGCATTGCTTCCATTTCTTTGGGCGGTTAATTGCTTCTACTTCTGGCCTGTTCTTCGCTCTCACTCATTTCCTCGCATTCGTCCCTGTGAGTTTGCCTCTCTCTGTTTAACTTCGATGCACGCGTCTCTACTTTCAATTATTTTCTTAATTTACACTTAACCGGAGATCTTCATAGTAAGAGCATTCATTCTTCGAATTCAGATGTATTTTGTAGCCTTAAACAAAGAAAGTTAGTGCTGGATATCATGTCCTGTAAGATAGGACTTGAAAGATTGTCCCATGTCAATATGAATATAAAAAATGAACTTGAAATAATCCTCAGAATCTGTGGTTGAGGATTGTTGGGAGAGAGTCGTAAATTGGCTAGTTTAGGGAATGATCATGAGTTTATGAGTAAGGAATACATCTCCACTGGTACAAGGCCTTTTGGGGAAGCCCAAAGCAAAGCCATGAGAGCTTATGCTGAAAGTGGACAATATCATACTATTGTGGAGATTCGTGATTCCTACAATCAGTGAGGGAACTAAACTAGCTTATTTGCTGTCTAGCCTTAGAACCAACTATTGATCTATATGAACGGTAAGAAACTAGCCGCTTGAAAAGGGACATTGGACTACTATGAATAACAGAGACTTTCTTTTATCCTTTATCCCTTGTCTAGAAAGGTTATTGGCTCGAAGATAGAAGCACTCGAACGTGATTCACTTCTAACATTTTTCCCTTACCTGTAAGTAAACACAATGGTGCAAAGGGATTACCCTGGAAGGAGAACATGAATAAGACCCTATTGTTGGTATTTTACCTCAATATTCTAATGATGGTAGCATTACGGGTTATTGGTTGTTGTTCTGGTTTTTTAGTTATATTTTAACGCGTTTCTGTTTCACTAGTTATGTTTCAATGTTTGGAAGCCCAAGAATCAAACTATTTTGTGGAGAAATACATGATGCCATTGTGATGTAGATATTTGTATTACAAAACTGAGTGCCCTTCGATTTATCCTTGTCCATGTGTTGTTCTTTTTCATAGGCTTGGTCAGTGGATACAAGGAGTTCTAAGCTGTTTATTTGTGCCAATACCCTGACCATTTTGATAATTCCCCTTCTTTCTCTTTGTAGTTTGCTTCATCATATTGGGACATGGTGATTCATGTTATACATTATTGTCTGGAGTTTATAGCCTTTGCAATAATACTTTAAGCAATGATACATTGATACTCTTCATAATTTACTGGAAAAA